AAAAAAAAAAAAAAAAAAAAAAAAAAAAGACAACAAGTGTTGGTAAGAATGTGGAGAAATTGAAATGCTTGTCCACTTTCAGTGAATGCAAAATGATGCAACAGCTATGGAAAAGAGTACAGAGGTGCCTCAAAAAACTAAAAATAGAACTACCATATACTATAGTATTCCCACTTCTGGGTATTTATCCAGAAGAATTGAAATCAGGATCTTGAAGAGATATTCGCATCCCATATTCATTGCAGCACTATTCACAAAATTCAAGGGGTGGAACCAACCTAAATGTCCATCACTGGATGAATGGATAAAGTGTGGTATATACATACAATGGAATATTTTTTCAGCCCTAATAAAGATGGGAATTCACCATATTCAACAACACAGATGGCCCTAAAGACGTTATGCTAAGTAAAATAAGCCAGTGACAGAAATACAAATACTACATGATTCCACTTATATGAGGTATCTTAAAAAGTCATATTCATAGAATTGAAGAGTGGAGAGGTGCCAAGCTGGCTTAGTTGGTGAAGCACGCAACTCTTGATCTCAGGATCATGTGTTCATGCCCCACATTGGATGTAGAGTTTACTTAAAAAAAAGTAAAAAAAAAAAAAAAAAAAAAGGATTGAAGAGTGGAATGGTGGTTCCTAGGGCCTGGGGGAGGGGAAAATGGGGAGCGACTGATCCATAGGTATAAAGTTTCAGTTAAGCAAGATGAATAAGTGCTTGAGATCAAGTACTTATAGTACAATATAATACTGTACCTATAGTCAACAATACTGTATTATATACTTATGGGTTAAGAGGGTAGATCTCATGTTATATGTTCATGGTAAGTGTTCTTACATTAAGATGAAAATTTTTTTTAAGTCTTATTGTAGAGGGCACCTAGCTGGCTCAGTTGGAAGAGCATAAGACTCTTGATCTCAGGGTTGTGGGTTCGAGCCCTATGTTGGGTATAGAGATTACATGAACAAATAAATAAATAAAAGTCTTATTGGAATTTTCATTGAGGAAGCATTAAATTTAATGGTTAACTTAAGGAAATTGATCATGTCAAAACTTTTGATTCAAGAAGGTACACCTTTCTATTTGTTCAAATATCTTGTGTCCTCAGTAGTATTTTAGAATGATTTCTTCAAACAAATCTTACACATTTTCTTGTTCAGATGATTCTTATCTTTTTTTTTAATTTTTAAAATGTTTTATTTATTTTTGAGAGAGAGAGAGCGAGAGCGTGAGCATGAATTGGGGATGGGCAGAGAGAGAGGGAGACAAAGAATCTGAAGCAGGCTCCAGGCTCAGAGCTGTCAGCACAGAGCCAGACACAGGGCTTGAACTCACAAATCTCAAGATCATGACCTGAGTTAGAGGCTTAGTTGACTGAGCCACCAGGTGCCCATATTCTCATATATTTTTATTGCAGTTTTGATATTTAAATAAGATCTTTCCTTCCATTATATCCTCTGTTTTTAAAATATGCAGACTATTGATTTCTACATATTCATATGTGTCTAGCAGCTTAAATTTTTTTTAAGTTTCTTTTTTGAGTTTTTCAAACTCGAGGTTTTAATTGTATGCTCAAGAATCAAAAAGCTTGGTGATTGTTGGTCTGTATGATGAAGTCTAAACTCTATAGCGTGAAGGCCTTTTGTTGATACTTCCTGACTTCTCATGTGCCACGATGCCACCACAAACATACTGAATGCTTATCATTCAAAAATGCTTCAAAAAATTGTTGAATACAAACAATTCTTGGATACTTTTGCCTTTGCTATAGTATCACTCTGCCTATAGTCTGCTCTTTCACTTCTACTGGTGCATTTGTAGGGAGAACACTTCATCTTTGTTTGGACTCAGTTTATGTGTCTCCTTTTCTGAGAACCCATTTAGATCCCTCAGACACAGTTAGGTTCTCTCTTCTTTCTGTTTTCATAGTGCTCAGTATAAGACTGATTTACTTCAGTCATCTTCTTACATTACCTCAGAGTGTCAAAGAAATTTTGGAATTTATTTGTTTTCCCACCAAAATTAGATCCAAACCTCAATCTCTTCCATACTTCCATGTGCATTTCTCTCAAATCTTTTTCTGACCTAAACATTAGATTAATCTAATCTAATCTAATTTAATCTAAATCTCTGAATTCCTGAAATTGGTGGTATTGGTGGATTGGTGGTATTCCTTTTTTGTGACTCAAGGTACTTACAAAACCCTTCTACCTATATTATTTGGGATGGAATCTTCTACCCTTTCTAACCAAGCCTCCACTTCTCTTCCTACCTCTCCCATCAATGTGGTCAGAGCTTAGGGCATTGTTGGACCCCAGTTACTACGAGTGTGGTTATTATGTCCTAAAGATGAACAATTTATGTGAGGTACTCTCTTTTGTACTTACTTCTCCTGTGTGATATATCATACATAAGCAGGACATGGATTCTTGAGGTAAGCCCGAGGATCTCTTTTTCTATGCTAGCTTTTCCACACTAACACCTGAATGGTGAGTTAAGCTTAGAGGCAGACACAGCCCCTCAGATAGAAGAGGGAATCAGCAATCCTGCTTTAAGCTATATATAACAGTTCATTTTTTAAAATTTCTTTATTTATTTTGAGAGAGGGCAGGAGGGGCAGAGAGAGGGAGAGACAAAATCCCAAGCAGGCTGCACGCTGTCAGCAGAGCCCAACATGGGGCTCAAACTCACAAACCATGAGATCATGACCTAAAACAAGATTGAGAGTTGAAGGCTTAACTGAATGAGCCATCCAGGCACCCCTATAACAGCTCATTTTAATAAAGACTCAGCATTTAGAATTTAGGGTACTGATTTTGGTGTGATAGACATAATTTTCCAAATTTAATGAATAATTGTAATGGATCCAAGAAGCTAAACAAATCAAATTTGAGATAACACCAAGTAAAGCACAGCAAGGTAATTCATAATCAACTTTCTGAAGTACAATGACATGAAACAAAATCTTAAAAAATACACAGAGGAAAAAAAGACATATTACATATATGGGGAGAATGATTCAAATGAGGGCTGAAATTTTATATAAAAACCATGGAGGCCAGGAGACTGTGGAATGACATCTTAAAGTGTTGAATGAAAAGAAAATGTGTCAATATTGAATTCTATATCCAGTGAAAATATCCCTCAAGTTTAAAAGCAAAGTAAATCATTTTCAGACAAACAAAAGCAGAGAGAATCTTAATAGCAGGTAAATATTGAAAGAAATGTTAACAGAAAATTTTCAGACAGAATAAAAGAGTAAATGGAAACTTGGATTTATAAATAGAAATGTGGAGTTCTGGAAATAATAAATATGTGATTAAACATAATATAGTTATTTTTTTTTCATTTTGAAAAGGATAATTAACTTTTTACAGCAAAAATAATATATTGTGGCTTTAAATACGCATAGAAGCCAAAATATGTGCAACAAATGCACCAAAAACACAAGGCACAGAATAGAAATATATTGTTTTAAGGTTTATATATTATATATGAATATTTATATATTATATTTGAAGACAACATGTGATGAAGATATGTGTTGTAATCCTAGAGAAAACACACACACACACACACACACACACACACACACAAGGCAAGGCAAAACAAAGAAGTATAATGAAATACGAATTAGGAAGTAAATGGGAATATTAAAATATATTCAACTAATGCAAAATACAGCTATTAAAGAAGGAAATAGCAAAGAACAGATGCACAAATAGAAAACAAATAACAAAATGGCAGGCTTACACCAATCATAGGAAAATTGTATCAAATGTAAATAGACTAGGGGTTCTTCTGGAATGGCTGAGTAGTTCCTAAACGATGGTACCCTTTCATAGATAACCAATATTAGCTCTAGACAAAATACTATATAAACAAACAAACAAACAAACCAAAAACAGTGCTTGAAGGCAATGAAGAGCTAACAACAAAAGCAGCCAGATTCTGGAGGCAAAGTACACATTTGAAAAAGGCAACAGCACAGGGTAACTTACTGGGTTTCACATCTTTTATCTGGAAAGCAGGTGAGATTTGGCACTACATGGGGTGACTGAGTTTTTAATTAAAAAGTGCATAGACTTTCTAGACTGAAGAACCAGAGGACACAACCTGGAGAAATACTAGCTGCTTAAAAGAAATTATGTTTTCTATGATATTTAAAGTCAGAGACTGGGAGCCCTACCTTCTTTGTATAAGCTCTGCCCAAATCTCTGATTTATCTCTGAATATGCACATGTGGGACAGACTCTAGTGAAGCCAGGGGTGGGGGGTAAGGGGGATGAACTAAGGTTTGAGACGCTATCAAGAGTTTGGAGTATAAAACCAACTTGGAATTTCCAGAACCCATTTTCCCACAATATAGAATTCAAAAGGTCCAAAACACAATCCAGTTTTACCCATTTTATAAGAATGCTTCTGCTTCTGCCAACCCATTGTAAGATAGAATAGCAATCAAAGGAGACAGACCCTGACAGGGTGCAGCTCTTGGTATTAACATACATGGATTTCAAAGCACTACTATAATTAACCTCAGGAGGTTTAAAAAAAATGCTCAAGGGGTGCCTGGGTGGCTCAGATGGTTGTGAGTGTCCGACTTTGGCTCAGGTCATGATCTCACGGTTCGTGAGTTCGAGCCCCACGTTGGGCTCTATGTTGACAGCTCTGAGCCTGGAGCCTGCTTCAGATTCTGTGTCTCCCTCTCTCTTTGCCCTCCCTGGCTTGCACTCTGTCTCTGTGTCTCTCAAAAATAAATAAACATTAAAATTTTTTTTAAAAAATGCTCAAGAGCATGGAAAGGGGACATCTCAGCAGAAAAAAAAAAGTATATAAAAAAGATCCAACTGAAAATTTGTAGAATTGAAAAATACAATATGCTAAAAAAATGTTCACTGGATGGGATGATCCACAAAAAGGAGATGACAGCGTAAAAAGACACTGAACTTGAAACAGAAATAGAAATTACATATTTTGAAGCCTAGAGAAAAAAAACATGTAAAGAACAGACCTTCGTGGACCTCTGGAACGTTATCAAAGGACTAACATTTGGGACTGGAATTCCAGAAGCAGGGGGCAGTGAGAAGAGGACAGAAGAAATATTTGATGAAATAATGGCTGAAAATACCCCAATTTTGTAAAAGAGATAATTTATAAATTCAAGAAAACTAGCAGACCCTAACCAGGACAAACACACACACACAAGCATGACTAGAAACTTCACAGTCAAACTTCTAAAAACCCAAGATAAAGAAACAATTTTGTAGCAGCCAAAGAAAAATGACATATTATAGAGGACGCAATAATTAGACAAATAAAGACCAGAACACAGTGGGGAAACATCTTTAAAGTTCTAAAAGAGGAAAAACCAAAACCAAACAAAACCAGTCCTCTCCAAATTCTATATCCAACAAAATACCTACCAAGAAAGAGAGAAAAAAGACATTTTCAAAGAGGGGCGAACTTTTAAACATTATCCTCAGTAGATGTACACTACAAACAATTGTAAAGGAATTTCTTCATTATGAAATAAAATACAGTTGACCCTTGAACGACATGGATTTGAACTGCGTGGGTCTACTTCAACACAGATTTTTTCTTCTTCTTCTTTTCTTTCCCTCCCTCCTCCTCAGCCCTGCAAAAAGCTTTCGTATTTCCATTTGATTTGGGCTCCAGGGTGGTTAAAAAGCTGCTCAGTTGCTTCAGGGAGAGGCGAGGACAGAAGCCCTGACGCCAGGGGAATGCCAGAGGGACCCCTCAAAGGCAGCCGGGCCCTGGCGGCTTCCAGCCATGCTTGAGGGTGAGCCTTCCCAAGAGATATTCATCCAGCCCAGCCCAGCCCAGCCAGCCTGAAGCGGTTACTCAGGTGGTCGCCCCTCTTCTTTGTGAGTTTCACCTGCTCATCCAGGAAGTGGTTCTCCGGGAAGTCATTGAGTCTGCGCAGGCAGAACCCAGGGCGCGCAGGTATAAAAGGGCCTGGCTCTGGTTCGTCTCCAGGATTGGGGTAGTTTTTATGGAGCCCAAGGTTTTCTCCCATTTATCTTGGGTCAGCTTCTGCGCGTCCTGGAAGAAGGCGAGAGTGCTGCTCTGGTTTTGCGTCTTCAGTCGCTCGGAGCTCTCCTGCTTCTCTTTGGCCAACTCCCAGAAGTGGCCCAGCCCTCCAGAGCCACGTGTCCGTGAAAACAGACGCCAGGAGAGAGGTAAGTGTAAATCCTGCAGATGCCCGTTGACCAGGTGGTTGATGGCCGTCTCCATCTCGGTGGAATAATTCTGACACATCTTGGAGCTCATGGTAGATTGGCAGTAAAGAGCTAAATTAGAAAAATGGTGTTGATTGGTTCTGGAAGCAGAGGATGGTTGAGAAAATGGTTTCTAAGGTTGCGGCTGGAAAAAATGTTGGAGGGCCGTGGAGGCTGGAAGAAGGCGGTGGAGGCTGGCATCTCTGGTTCTGTTTTGTCTGAACATGGTTAAAAAAAATTTTTTTTAATCTTTATTTTTGAGAGAGAGAGAGGGAGGGGTAGAGAGAGAGGGAGACACAGAATCTGAAACAGGCTCCAGGTTCTAAGCGGTCAACACAGAGCCCTAAGCAGCGCTCAGACTCACAGACGTGAGATCTTGACCTGAGCTGAAGTCTGTCAGTTAACTGACTGAGCCATCCAGGTGCCCCTGTTCTGTGTGAACATTGTTGAAGCAAAAGGCAAATCCAGGGACCACTGGGAGCAGTGCTTACATGTAGATTTTTTACAGTACTGTAAATATATTTTCTCTTTCTAATGATTTTCTTAATATTTTCTTTATTTTAAGAATATGGTATACATATACAAAATGTGTACATAAAGTAAAATATGTGTAATGGATTGTTTATGTTATTGATGACTTTCAATCAACAGTCAACTATTAGTAGTTAAGCTATTAGGAGTCAAAAGTTATACATAATTTTCCATTGCTCCAGGGGTGTTGGTGCCCCTGACTCCCATGTTGTTTAAAGGTCAACTGTAATACCAAAGGAAAACTCAGATCTTCAGGAAAGGATTGAGATAGTCAGAAGTGGTAAATATCTGGAAAAATGTAAAAGCCTATTGCTTTTTATGATAATTTCTAAAAATACTTAGTTCTGATTAAAGCAAAAGTATAACATGCAGGGTATATAGTGGTGTAGTGGTAATGCCTATGACACTATAGTATAAGTGAATGTGAAGAGGAAAACGGATCTATGATGTTAGAAGGTTTATATATTTTCAAGAACTATTATTATATTTATTCTAAGTAGACTGTGAAAAGTCAGGTATACATATTATGATTCCTAGAATGCTCACCAAAATTAATGTAGAAAGGTGTAACTAGTCTGGATAAAATTACTTTCCAAACATGTGAGTAAGCCAAATACTCCCAATTATAGGACAGAGATTATCGGGTAGAATAAAGAAGCTAATTTTTTAAGTACCATGCACATATTAATTTTAAGAAAGGTAGAATAGGTATATTAATATATCAGAAAATAAAGTTCAGGAAAAAGGAAACATTCTATAATGATAAAAAGAACAGTTCTTCAAGACGTCCTAACAATACTAAATGTGTATGTACCTAATAGAATTTCAAAATGATTGGGGGAAAATATTAACAGAACATGAAGGAAAAACCGATGTATCTACAGTTACAGTAGGAGATTCAAAACTCCTCTCTCAGTAAATGATAGAACTAATTGAGAGAAAAATCAGTAAGAACATAAACAACTTGAAAAATTTTATTAACCAACCTGATGGTATTGACATTTATAGAGCACTGCATCTAACAACCTGCAGCATACTAATTGCTTTCAAACAAACGCACACAGAGCATTCACCAAGATGGGACATATTCTGAGCCATTTAAAAAGTTTCAATTTCAAAGGTTGAAACTATATCGTGTATATTTTCTTACCACTGAGGAATTAAAGTAGAAATCGATAAAAAATGACATCTAGAAAAGCCTCAAATATTTAGAAATTAAGCAATCCAGGTCTAAGAAGCCTATGAGTGATAGAAGAAATAACAAAATACAGAATATTCTAAGATGAATGATAATGTCCAAAAATTATGATTTGTGGAAGGCAGTTAAAACAGTGCTTAGAGGGAAATTTATAGCTCTATGTGTTTAGTTTGGGGGGAAAAAAAAAGCAAGGTTTAAAAGCCAGTCATCTATCCTTCCAGCATGAGAAGTTAAAAAAAGAAGCAAGTTCAAATCGACATTAAGTAGAATAATGAAAATAATAAGAGGAGAATAAATTAATGAAATAGATACACAGTAAAGCAATAAATGAAATTAACTGTGGTTCTCTCAAAAGATTGTTAAAATTGATAATCTCCCTATCTACATCCACCAAGGAAAAAAAGAGTACACAATGCCCAATGCCAGTAATGAAATAAGGATGCTACTATAGATCTTATACATATTAAAACGATAAAAAAGACATTTTAAAAACACTTGAGCCGATAAGCTCAACAATTTTGATGAAACAGAGAAATTTCTTGGCAGGATCTGGGGGTGTGTGTGGACAAACTGTTTTTAAAAAAAAGATTTTGAATAGCCCAGGATCTATTAATGAAATATATTAGTAATTAAAAATAATTCTCCAAAGAAAGTACCAGGCCCACAATGCTTCATTTGTGAATTCTGTCAGAATTTAAACAGGATTGCCTGGTGCTTCAGTTGTTTAAGCATCAGACTCTTGATTTTGGCTCAGGTCATGATCTCACAGTCATGGGATTGAGCCTGTGTTGGGCTCTGCGCTGACATCATAGAGCCTGCCTGGGATTCTCTGTCTCTCCCTCTCTCTCTCTATCCCTACCCTGCTAGCACACATGCACACATACTCTCTGTCTCTCAAAAATAAACATTTAAAAAAAACATTTAAGCAGCAAAAATACATATCCTGTGTAAACTCATTTACAAAATAGAAGGAAACACTTTACAACTCATTTAATAAGGTCAGCATTACCTCAATATCTAACACAGAAAAAATCGTTACAATAAAATAGATCTACAGGCTGAAATCCCTCATAAGCAAAATTCTTTAACAAAACAGTAGTAATACACACGCACACATGCATGAACACCCCAGTGGGGTCTATCCCATTTCTACAGTTCATTCAAAAGTCAGTGTAATTTACAATCTTAATAGAACATTTCAGAACAATCTGGAAAATCTGTAAACACCAAAATATATGCATAGGAAACATTTGACAAAACCCAAAACTCATTTAGATCAAAACTCTCTCTAAACTAGGAAGAGAAAAAGACTTCATTTTGATGAAGAGCATCTAAGAAAAACCTATAGTTAGCATCATACCTAATAACGAATGACTGAACACTTTTCCCTGGAGAATGAGAATAAGGCCAGCATACCTGCTTCACCACTTCTATTCTACTTTGTAATTTAAGTTGTAACCAGTGAAATAAACTAAGGAAAAAAAAGATGAAAGTCATGTAGATTGGAAGGAAAAATAAAGCTGTCTTTATTTACAGATAATAGAAATTTTAAGTAGTTCAAGCAGTCTTGATTAAGTGAATTAGGCAAAATTATATGATACAAGGTCAATTTATTTCTGTATGGTAGCATTGAATGAATGGAAATGATTAACAAATACAGTTTACATTAGCATTAGAAAGCAAACTACTTAAGATGAACTTAATATTAAAGTACAAAGCTTGTATACCGAAAACTGGCAGACTATGAGAGAAATTAAAGAAGACTTAGAGATATATCATACTTATGTGTTTTGGAAAATTCACAATTAATGAGATGTCAGTTCTTCTCAAATTAAACTATAGTTTCAATGTAGTCTTAACCAAAATTTCATCCATTTTTTAAGATGTAAACCAACAAGTTACTTCTAAAATTTATGTGGAAATGAGAGTGCTTAGAATTTTAAAATAATCTTGAAAAAGGAAACAACAATAAAGTTTGAGTTCTTACAAATGATTTGAAGACTTATAAAAAAGCTAAAAAGAGAGTATGCTTTTGACATAAGAATATATCGATGGAGTAGGTTAGAGTCCAAAAAATATTTATACCTTCATTGTGAAGTTTCAACGAAGACTCCAGATTTTTCCAATGGGGAAAAAATGTCTTTTCAATAAATGGTGCTGGGATAACAGGATCATGATATGGGGGGAGAAAACCTTGTCTCATGCTTCACTTCATATATAAAATTTAACTTGAGATGGATCTCAGAACCAACCATAAAATCTAATACTATAAAGTTACCAGAAGAAAACATTGAATAATATTTTCAGTACCTTGAGATACACACATATTTTTTAGGACATAAAAAATCAGGACATAATTTTAAAAAACTATTAAAGTTTACACTATCAAAATTGAACAATTCTTTTTTTTTTAATGTTTATTTATTTTGAGAGAGAGAGAGAGAAAGAGGCAGAAAGAGGGGGAGATAATCCCAGCAGGCTCCACGCTGTCAGCATAGAGCCTGATGTGGGGTTTGATCTCATGAACCAAGAGATCATGACCTGAGCTGGAATCAAGAGTCCCATGCTTAACTGACTGAGCCACCCAGGTGCCCCTTGAACACCTCTTTTCAAATGACACAATTTAGTAAGTGTAGAGATAAGCCATAGAATGGCAGAAAATGTTTGCAATGCATGTATCTGACAACTTCTATCCAGACTATACTGCAAACTCCTACAATTCAATAAAAATAAAGGCAACCAGTCTGATCAAAACATAAACAAAATATTCATGGTTGTCAACGTAAGAGGATGGAGAATATATTGATTGAAAGACGTACAAGGATCTTTCTGGGGTGTTAAAACACCTTGATCTAGATGTGGATTACAGGGTGCTGTTTTCAGAACTCTTCAAATGATATACTTAAGATCTATGACCCTCTCTTTTTGTAAATGGTACCTGAATAGAAAAAAAAAAAAATATGGTGTTACTTTAATTTCCAAATTTGCTACAACACCAATCTGGTAATGATTTCCTCTTTTGTATCAGGTAAGTTAAAACATCACAGGTCCAGTAATTTATTTTAATAAAAATGCAGAACATTTAAAAAGACCATCAGTATTACAATATGTGTTCAAATCTAGAAAGCCTATTTGCTGGAGGATGTATGGGAAACGAAACTATCATCTGAGCTCAGGTTATGGTAAATAACTGTTTTGCTGCGATTAATAGAAGTGTTTACTTCTCATTTAAAAAGTAAAAAAAAATATATACACCCATTAATTTTTCACTTGCTAATGCAATACTCAGGTATGATTTTAAGACAAGGAAAACCAATTCTTCA